CTGTGTTTGTTGGTTCTTTAGGATGTAGATAGCCTTTTCGTTTGTTTGTTTTCTCTTCACGGATGCCATGTGTATTATACTAGTGGGTTTAGATTTTTCTTGGGTTTTTATGGCAGTGGTGGTTATTTTTTAGGGCTCACGGTTCCAGCAGCGCCCAGGGCTGGGGAGACGACAGCCCCCTCCCCAGCAGATACCTGCTGTCACCGGACTGAGTCCCGGTGGTGGGGCAGCAGCTGCGGGCCAGGCACCACTAGCTCCAGTCGCTTCTTCCCCGGGAGGATTTTGTAAATTTCACAAAATGGCCCGCACTCCAAACCTCAGTGCACTATTATGAGAGTTCCCTTCAAGGTCTCAGCAATCCTTCAGAGCAATCCACCTGGGTAGTAACAGCTACCCCCAGCGCAAGCAAGGACACCAGAGATTCTGACTCACCATCAGGCTTTCTGAGTTCCTCTTCTTGCTGGTTGCCTCTGGGATCCTGCCGGCCGGGGCGCGGGCGGTTCACTCCCTTTCCGCCGCCATGTTTCGTAGAACCAATTCAATGTTTTTGATTAATTTGCCATGTCCTTCGGTCCCAAGGGGTGGGATCCGGTGCAGACAGCTCCGAACACAGTGGGCCCCTCAGGCGCGGCGGTGGGGGCGTGGCCCTCCCGCTGTGGCCAGGGCTGGGGTCTCGCCTCCTCCTCCAGCCTTGGAAGGTTGGCCTATACTGGAATACTTAGTTTTGGAGGCTGAAAGTCCAAAGCCAAGGGAACGCATCTGGTGAGGGCCTTGTTGGTCATGATCTCTCTTCACAGCAATGTGGGGTGTCACATGGCGAGTGGCCGCTCTGGTTAGATGACAGGTCTCACTGGTACATAATTTAATGCCATCGTCTCTAGCGCAGGCGGGAGCCCGGGGCACGGGGCCTTCAGCGAGTGGCTGCAGTCGGGGCGGCAGTTGGTCTGGTAGTTTCGGATGCCCGGGCTCGGCGGAGAGCGAGTCGGCGTGAATGGGAGCGAGCGAGCTAGCTCAAATTTCATTTCTTGATTTATTTATGGGTTGTTCTCACACCTACTTTATCCCTAGCAGAAACAGTCAGGAGAGAATGGGCTCAAATCAAACCTATTTACTGACCAGTGGTCTTATTTCTCATCAAACAAAGAGAATAAAAATCCCTCTCCTTGGGCTTCTGCCCTATTTAAATAAATCCAAAGAGGCTCAGCCCCCTTCAACAATGCTGTTTACTGCCATAGGGTACATTTTTCTATCATGGGAGTGTAAAGCAACTTAATTAAGTGTTTTAAGTGATAAATGAAATGTATCAACAATTTACTATTTATATTGGAAAAAAAAGTCAGAGAATTTTATATCAATAAAGAATTTTTTAAAAATTTATAGCTTTTGAACTTTAGAGCTTCGTGGGAGCTTGGAAAGAATTGTAAAGAGGCAGAAGGAAAGAAGGGGAGTTGGAAAGATTGAGAAGTACAGAGAAGTGGGCAGATCAAAGAATGAGTCAGAGACACATGGCAAAACAAAAGAGCATTTATGTTTGTCTTGTACTACTTTGTCTATAAAGTTGTTTAGAGTGAATATGGTTCTTTCCTGCACATAATTGCATTTGATTCATATGAAATCATCCAGAGTAGGCCACCAAGCAGTCTCCTTGACTCTGCCCTTGTAGGATCCACATGAACATTCTGTACTTACAGAGCCCGTAATAAAGTCACTTCATTTTCACACATTTTTTCAGGATTGTACATTTTAAATTTGTGAGTCAGGGACTATCTACACCTTTTAAAAACATACTTTCTTCTGTCCCTTTACAGAAGTGGTTTTCAAATTGTCCTCTAAGGAGTTCCACACTGTCCTGAAGCATATCTTCAGGAGATGAAAGGGCTCTTGGCCCTTTTTAAAATCTGTTTTATACATGGATGTAGTGGATTGAATTATGTCCCCCCAAAACTCCCTGAAGCTTGAATTGCGTCCCCCAAGTTTTATGTATTAGAAACTTAGCCCCCACTGTGACTGTTAAGAGAGTAGGAAATCCTGCTATAGTAATTGAAAGGTGGAGCCTTAAGGAGATTGAATTGTAGGACCTTGTAGTAGTGAATGGATTAAAAATGGTGGTCAAGGGTGTGGTTCTGAGGGCTTTAAAAGAAGAGGAGAGTCTTGTCTTTCTCTCTCTGCTTCCACCATCTTGCAATGTGAGACCCCTCAGTCACTGTTGCCACCACGAGATGGACTTTGGACTTCCTAGCCTCAGAAACTGTAAGCAATAATTTTTGTTTTCTTCATAAATTACCCAGTTTCAGTGTACTTTGTTATAAGCAACACAAAACAGACTAATACAATGGGCTTTCACACAGGTAGATTTTTTTGATGGGTGTTATGATTAGCTGCTTTAAAAGTTCTCCCATAATCACAGAATTTTTAGTAAAAATGTTTGAACTTTATAAATCTCTTTCCTGTTACAGAATTTAAGAAAAATTAATCATAGTATCTAAGAGCAAAGACAAATACCATTTTGTTAAAAACTCTCTGAATCTTTGCTTTGAGCAGATTTACATTATGTGCAATTTTCCATGAAATTAATGGATTATTTCTATATTCCAGTTATATGAATACAGAGCATCAGTGTGATTATATAGACTCATTTGTACAAAAATGCCTTATTGGCATTTCATAAGAGTTTAGAGGTCTCTGTTCAGTCTGCAATTTAACAATCTAAAAGTAACCACCACAGATATTCCTTAATTGGTTAGTTTGCTTAGTTTTGAAACTTAGTAAGAATAGTTAGCAATTGCAGTTTAATAACATTTTATGGACAATTAATAATTCATATCTCTCAATTATTCTCGGAACTTTATAAAGTCATTGAGTGAGGGCCTGCCCGTGGCTCACTCGGGAGAGTGTGGTGCTGATAACACCAAGGCTATGGGTTCGGATTCTATATAGGGATGGCCGGTTCACTCACTGGCTGAGCGTGGTGCTGATGACACCAAGCCGAGGGTTAAGATCCCCTTACCATTCATCTTTTATTAAAAAAAATAAATAAATAAAAATAAAGTTATTGAGTGAAAACTTTTATTGAACTTCTCATTTGTCACATCCTCTGTGTTTGAACTTGGAGGCAAAGCTGGGAATGATACTTCCAAAAAATGGTAGCTTGACAACTACCATACAATTCTTTTGACTTGTTAACCTTACACTAAAAAAACTATCGCTTTCCACAAAATCTTGGTCAAACCATATAAGGTTTGAGATTAAAATTTATTTGAAGATTACTAAAAATAAGGATAAATTAATTTCCTTTCATCATCAACATTTAGTGCCACACCTATGCCAGTTAATGTGCTAGGAGGCCTGCAGCTAAAGCTACAGTGAGACAAGGTCCTTGCCTTCACATACTAGAGTGGAAACACCATGTAAACCAATGATTACATAGTGTTAAAGGATTGTAAAGCTATGTGTAAGATGCTACCAGGGGAGTAGGGAACCTGGGGAGCGGGTCTGTGAAGAACTTCTCAGAGGAGGTGTTTTTAATGATCACATTGGTAGTTTGAATGAATTAGTGCTGCCAAACAACATAAGAAAATATGCTGACCTTTATTCTTAAGCAAAGTATGTACTTCCTTTTACATTATTAATTTTCTTAGCATACTTGTTTTTAGATTACAGTAAAGATAAACTAAAGCTAAATGTTCCAGTAGTTCTAATAAGATATCTTTTTTTAACACCCCATTTAAATGTTTGAAAGTAATATGAAACAAATGGAATATTTACAATTTAGAATGTATTGATAAATATGATTGCAATTGTTACCAAGGGTTCTATTTGTTCTTACATGTTATAGTCAATTGAGATAATAGAAATATTTTAATGACCTACTGATTATTATCTTTCCTAGATGAAAACTTTTCAATTCCTCATAATAAAAGAGGAGTTCTTGGAATGGTCAACAAAGGCCGTCACAGCAATGGGTCACAATTCTATATCACACTACAAGCAACTCCCTATCTAGATAGAAAATATGTGGCTTTTGGGTATGTACATTGTATCTCTTTATGATTACTGCAGTGAATATGAGGTAGAGCTTACTTTCTCTTCCAGAAATGATGTAAAGTGTTAGAATTTTTCTGAATAACTATTAGATTATTACAGCCACTGCATAGGGATGATTACTGACTCTTCAGCCCATGAAGGAATTTCATGCCAATGTTAATTTTAATCACAATAATTCCTTCCGTGTAATGCTTTCTGTGATATTTTACATGTGCCTAGTCACACATGTAAAAATGTGGTTTAAAATGATTTGGATTAAGTATTATACATAGTTTAAGCATAGTGAAAGATAGGGCTTAAAAGCAAAAATATACAAATATAGACAAACATATTTAGAAATATTTTGTGAAAAGCTTGCTATCTATAAAAACACAGAAACCATACAGGCACAGCCATGATAATGTTCTGTTTCTCTATCCATCCATCCATCCGTACATCCATCTGTCTATCTTCAGTCTCCAGGATATATCAGTTCTAATTACTGCATATCATACCATAGTGCTTAGTAATGTAGATCTATACAGAGGTGAGGAGGTGAAGACATTTAAGTAATTGTCCATGTACATCATGAAGAGATAGATGAAAACTATTCAAGTTACATGTCAATTTTTTTTTAACTGAATATGTACATTGTATCTCTTTATGATTACTGCAGTGCATA